AAAAATAAATTTTATATATTATTAACATAAATATTTTAATATTAAATATGAAAAAATATAAAAATATGTATATTAAATATTAAAAAATAAATAATTATAAATAGTATAATTTTGATAAAAAAATTATAGACTTATACAAAAAGCACTTGGCGTGTCTTCTTTTATTGATTAAACAGCTGTCTTATTTTAAGGACGCCTAGGAGTTAATGACCATTATCAATACTTGATCCATTGTGAAATATAGCATTCATAACCTTATAAGACCGCCCAGCTATTAATACTTTGGTTGTTGGAACAGCACATAAATTAAGTTTATATTTTTTCATCGACTTATCATCCTGTAATATAATACGTACAACAAATATTTTTTGCATCGATATTAATTCATATTTAAATAACATATTTCCTGCACAATATTCACATGGCTCATTAAACAATTTAGTCCAATGTAAAAATGTAATATTTATTAAATCTTGAAGATTATAACTTTTCTCCTTCAAATGATTAATAGATATTGTAAAAATAATATTCTCACTTGTGGTACATTTTGTATTTTCATAAGTTTTGCAGCGGTTGATAGTATTCATTTTACAAAAGTGAATCTTTTATATAATCATATTTGTCACAAAGAGCTGTGAGAAATTGAAATGCATCTCGTTTTATATTATCAGAAAAATATTCTCCTAAATATTGCCGTATTGCATACGTACTCAATTGAGCCATTCCCTTTTCATACTGATACGCTAATTTATCTGAAACATTTGATTTATCCAAAATAAACAATTGTCTGATATCAGTTAAATGCAATAAACATTGCAATACTGAATTTGCATAACATGAAACTTTATCTGTATTTTGAAAACCTTTTATAACCCATACAGTATTCTGTAAAAATTTTTGACATGGTACTTGGGTACAGGAAATTATCTTTGGTAAAGTCCACAAGATATCTTTCACTTTATGATGTTTCTCCTTAGAAACAGTAATCAATGCTGTTTTTGCTTTATGTACCTTTTTTAAGCGATTATACTCAATAATAGCTTCCTCACTAGCTTTAACTGACGAAGGATCATAGTTAATCAAATGCAGTCCTTCTATAGAGGTTACTCGAGATAATGCAACATATACCTGGCCACAATTAAATACACAATTACCTATATCCATGACAGCATTTTGCAAGCTCAGCCCTTGACTTTTATGAATAGTAATT